TTTCGGCACCAGGCCAACACCTTTTAATGGTTGAATGAGTTCACCATATGAAGAATTATTTACTGCATTTTTCATATATTGATGTTATATTTTGAATGTGCTGTTGCGCTTTTAGTTCTATAAGCCATCTTGAGATCTCTTTTAAGATGGGATAAAATATTTTAAATAAATAAATCTCATTTTAGCCAGAGTTTTCAGCACAAACAGAAATCTCTTTCAGAGAATTAAAACTTTTACTCTTTTACTTCTCTTCTGCCAGCCAACTCATTCTTCACATCTCTTTATCTTTCACATTCTGGATCATCACCCATCCATTAGCCCCATCCCCTTGTTTTCTAAGCTCAAGCATGTAACCCATCGGTGTTCATAGGAAATGAATATGTTGAAGTTGGAGGCTCCCATTTTGCTTTGAAGCAATCCCTGCTACCAGTAAGAAAATTCTGTTTTTCTTTAAGTAGTGAGGTCAGGAAACTTCGTGTGTACTAAGCAAAATGTTCAAAGGGACCACTAGGGCCCATGGACATGATAGATAGAAGAATAAAGAAAGGGCAAGTATTATGTGGCCTTCCAGATGTTGGGTTGTAATTCTTATCAGTTCTCACCATTGGCTATACTGGCAGGGCTGGTGAGAGTCCAACACTATTTGGAGGGTCACATGCTCCCCAGCTCTGCATAAGGCACCTTTCATCGTAATTCTAGCCAAAAGCAGCTTAGAGAGGACGGCAGAGGAGCAATAGCAGCTAGATGGTGCTATGTGGAAGAGAGTTACCAGCTAACTATCTAGCTCTTCTTTGCGCAACGGTGTCTTCGTCTTGAAGGGACAGCAGTGCAGAGTTTAAATGCTGGGGCGCAGACTCAGAACCTGTTCACAGATAGTGCTAGAGCATATGCCAAACAAGACGAAACGACGACGACATGCCAAGTGCCTTGGCTTTTGCTGCCCAGATTGAGGGACTACCGCCAGCCCTCACGCATATGAAATAAGGATTGCTCGAGCCGAGAAAGTGCTTCTCTGAAGCCGCTTCCCACTGAATACAATGCAGGAGCAATAAAAACATCTCCTGAAATGCTCTGACCAAAAAGAGCAGCAGGCGAGTTGAATGCACGCCTTTCTCCTCTGCTCGCTGCTCACCTCTTAGTGTCGGAGCCACAAGAAGGACCACAACTGAGCCGAGCGCGGAGGGGCTGCTGCGCTCCAGGAGGCGGCGTGGAGCAGAGACGGCGTCCACCTTCGCCAGCAACCGCCCACGGTGTCAACAAGGCGTGGGTTGCTATGGAGACCCCACACGGCCGCTTTGCCCAGGGTGCTTTGCGAGCTGCTTCGGCTTCCCTCCCGCTTGATCCAGAGGGGATCGGTAGGGGGAGCCAGCAGCGCGCGGAAGACGGCGAGAGCGAGACGGCGGCGGCTCCGCAGAAAGATGACTCGTTGAGCCGTCCTGCTGGGACTGGAAAAGGAGAGGTGCCGGGAGCCATCCCTGCCGGGGAGCCTCTCCTTGGCTTCCGAATCCCACCACCTGCTTCCACGGTCACCGAAGTGGCTGGGGGACAAAGGCATTTCCCTCCCCATACAATGGAAATGCGCCGTATGATTTCTTAGATCGCTGATGTTGGAAAACTGAATTAAGGGGCTGAGCCATGATAAGCTCTGCCACCAAGAAAATTTTGGCTATGGGTAACTGTAATTTCATTTATTGTGTATATCTACCCATTTGGATGTTTTATAGGTCAAAAAGCAGAACAGATAAAATGTCCTATTCAAATCAGAAGCTAGGCATTCACAGGAAGCTGCCTACACAGCATTCCCTAGCCTAGAATGTTGGACTACAATTGCCACCGCCTTCGTCCCCTCTCCAGTCCCAGCCACCATGGCCGAGTGCTGTCCAGGGTTTCAGTTGAGGTCTTTCCTAGCCCTACTTGGAAATGCCAGAGACTGAGATATTTTGCAGGCAAAGCATGCAGTCCACCACTTGGCTACGGTTCCTTTCATAATTAATTTAGAACAATGACATACATGTTGTGCTGCTATCTATAGCTGTTCAATTAATTTTAAGTGTTGGGTCTCCCCAATCATTACAACATATAGAATTCTTAATTTGCCAATGGGTACATGATGGGCTAAGAAATGTATTTGACACTTTCCCACTCTTCCACCAAAGCAGCTATGATAAGGCACCTCAAATGTGACAGCTAATGCAAGTGTAAGATTTAAGCAAAGTTAACTTTTCTGGGTGAGTTGCTACCCAGAACGAAAGCATAACCCCTACTGAAGAGAGAGTTAGGAGATTACTCACATTCATTTAAAGTGTTAGTAATCCCAGCTGAACGGCAGAAATTGTTCATTTCCTCGGAACAGACATAGCAGATTTGACAAGGGCCTTAATTAATCTGATAAGTATGGTTTGGAGATTGGGAAAGAATCAATACTATTCCAAAACAAAGTCAAATAGAAATCACATCTGATAACATGAAGGGTCATAGATATGCTTTACATGCAAAAGGTCCCAAATGAAATCTCAAGTGAAAAGGATTTGGGATAACATAATACATCAATAGCATGTATTTCTAGTATTTTTATTACCTTTCCACAGTTTAAAATTGAACAGAGCTCAGAAGTTCCCCACCTGAGAATTTGCAAAGCTGCTGTCAGAGTTGGCTAATGAAACAAAGTGCACTTCATATTTCAATGGGACGAACTTTTGGTTGGACTTCCAACATGAACCATCCTGCAAGGATTAAGCCAACATTAGGCAGAACTCATTTTTTCCCCTAAAGGGATGTTCAGGCAAAGTACTAGTATGCAAAGGGTTACACAAATGTACATGATAATTTTCTTTCATGCAACAATTCATTGAGGAAGATGAAGAAAATGTTATGTGCACCTTAAGGTTATATTGAGCCTTAAGGCAAATATTCATAAGCAGAAATAGGGTAATATTTATAGTGGAAATAACACAAAGATTTAGATGGAGCATCTTTGTTCTACCAGTGGAAGGCTACTGCAAAAATACTGTTCTAAAAGCAGTATTCTTCCATTGGTGGGATGCAAACGTTGGAATTAATCCAAGGAAGTGGACTAGCTTTTAAAGTTCTTCATTAAACTCTTAGTTCTTCAAGGCTGAAAGTATTTAGAAGCAGTTTGGGAATGAAGTTAAACAAACTGAATTTTTAATTTGGACAAGATAGAAGCACTATTGGCTAATGCTCGTGATCCTGAAGAAGGTATTTTGGTTAGGGTCACACTCCCACTGAACAAGCAAATTGACACGTTTGTAGATTTGCTTGGTTCTGTCCCTCATCTTAGATGCACAAGCAATACTGGTAACCAGGAACACTTTTTTGCCCACTGTATCCAGTTCTTCACCTGAAGCCTGTTAGAGAAATCAGAACTTAATTAGTTATTACATTTTCATTCTGTTCCATACTTGAAGCTGTGTGTTCATCATTCATGCTTTAAGACACAATTCAGTGCACATATAGACAGAAAAAAAGATGCCTGCCTGAGAAGACTGAACATGTGTAGGATTGCATCTTTGGATATTTTCAGGTTGAATTACTGTAATGCACTTTACATGAGACTGTCCTTGAAAATAGTCTGGCAACTTTTACTAGTGCATAATGCTGCCGCCAGAATTTTTTTTGAAATTAGTAGAATGGAGCATGTTCATCATCTTCATTTTGTTTTCAGAAGCCAATATATTTCAGCAATCACCTTGTCTTAGGAGAATTTGTTCAAAATCCTTGTTTGGTTTGAGGCTCTTCTTTTTATTCCTCTGCCAACAGAAGTATGGCAGGTTCAAATGACAGAGAAAGCCTTTTTGACTGTGGTACTATATTATAAAACAACTTTCTAGGAAAGGATTGTCTGATCTCTTTGCCTGCTTTAAAAAAAATAAAATTATTTTATTCCAAGGGGCATTTAGAGAGCATTTTATTTATTTTTATGTTAGTATTTATTGCTTTTTTCTAATATGCTTTATGGGTACTGTTTAATTGTTCTTGGATTTTAGCTTGAGGGACTGTATCTTGCTTTTAACTGGTCTACCTAGGTATAGGAAGATCACAGAATTACTGAAAAGAATAAAACCACATGGACTGGGAAGGAAAATACGTTGCTATTATACTATGCAAACAAGCACTTAAAAGAGTCCTTGTTTGCATAGTATAATAGTATTTAAACTGAATTTGGAAAATGTTACACAGAGATTCTAACATTGAATTTATGTTAGATCTTGTTTCTTGCAAGGAAACCAGGGTGCCTTACATAGACCTCCTCTACTCCAATTTACTCCCAAGTAAGTCTATGTCTAATTGAAAGTACAACCCACTGAGTTTTAAGGACATTATTCCAGGGTGTGTATAGAATTGCAGCCTAAGACCCATCCAGCAGGGTAACTTAGTTCCAAGTAAGCTTGCAGAGGATCAAACTTTTGTTAGATTAGGTTGTGGTTGGTGCCAAAAAGCTAGAAACAGCAAAGATGATAAAGAATGTTGATTAATACTGTTATTCGGGTGACTTTTTGACTGTCATAGATAAATTCACCCTGGAAGTAAATATTAGCTTCCCTCCCTTCTATTCACGCACAAAATGAAGTTATCAGGAGGTTCACAGGAGTACAAAGCACATTTAAGGGGAAGAGGCCTATGCGAGGCCTGGGCATATTCAATGGACAGGAAATGGAAAGCTAGCGCGTGTGTGTAGAGGGCCGGAAGCATAAGCACCCCGCGCTGCTTCATTTTGTTGCAGATTCAGTTTTGTAATAGAAGGTGGCCGCCCGGAAAAGAATGACCCAGCGCTTCCTGCCCACGCCACTCGACAGTCTTAATAAATGGACGCATGCAGACTGCAATCTTCCGGAATCGCTTGACTCCCGCCCCACGAGTCCTGCTCTCGACCTATTTCTGCTGTGCGCCTTAATCCTTCCGGAGTCCATTTCCCAGCAGGCCTTGCGTTTCGCCCTTCTTCCACCCCGGCTTTTCCCATCGGCCCTTGCGGGGCGGGGCAGCCAAAGTGGCTCTGTCCTGACTGGCAGCAGAAGAGTGGCTGCAGGCAGGGAGCGAAGGGAGGAATGAATGGTGTGGACTCCGCATTTCCGGGTTCATGTGGCGCTTGCTCTGGGGGACGCTGAGAGCCCTTCCCGGCCTGCGGAGGAGGACGGCAACCGGGCAGCGCCTGAGCTGGCGGGGCCTCCCGAGCGCACCCATGGAGCGAGCCGTGGTGCGCTGCGTGCCCGCCGAACCTAAACTCAGCGTCTCGTTCGTGATGGGGGACGGAAGCGCCCGGCACATGCAGAGGGACCAGGCGGAGCCTCTTGGCAGGGCGCTTGCTCGCATCGCCAACAACGCCGGGAAAGGCCACGCCAAGGCGGCCAAGAAAAGCAAGAAAGCGCGGGCCGAGGCGGAAGCTGCGGCCCCGCCGCCGGCCCCGCCGCCTCCCACCGTGTGCCTCTACTCCCAGGATGGCGAGGCTGTGGACGAGGACGTGCCCAACGCAGAGGCCTGGCAAGACGGGGCCGTGCTGCAGATCGGCGAGGCCCGCTACCGCGTGGAGCGCAACCCGCCTGCTCTGACGGAGCTCCAGCTGCCGCGCTCGCTCATGGCCGGCTTCCCGCTGTGCCCCAAGCTTCGGACCGAGTTCGGCTCTCCACGCGACTGCCTCTTCCGCTGGTTCCGGGAGCAGAAGGCCGAGCCGGCGACGGCGGCCGGAGGCGATGGTTGGGTGGAAATCCCGGGTGGCACCGAGCGCATCTTCACGCCCGGCAACGCGCACATCGGGCTGCGCCTTAAGCTTGCCTGCACCCCGGGCAACAGCCAGGGGCGCTACGGGCAAGCCCGCGAGGTGGAGAGCAGCGGCCCCGTGGAGGCCGGCCCGGGCGCCTGCACCTTCGATGCGCGGCACCTCTACACCAAGAAAGTGACCGGCCCGGGCCTCATCCGCACCGTCACTTACAACATTCTGGCCGACATCTACGCCCAGACCGAGCTTTCGCGGACCGTGCTTTATCCCTACTGTGCTCCCTACTCGCTGGAACTCGACTACCGACAAAACCTGCTCAAGAAGGAGTTGGCCGGCTACAACGCCGACATCATCTGCCTGCAGGAGGTAGACAAATCGGTCTTCGCTGACAGCCTGGGCCCTGCACTTGATGCCTTTGGCTTGGAGGGTCTCTTCAAGATCAAAGAGAAGCAGTACGAGGGCCTGGCCACCTTCTACCGAAGGGACAAGTTCAGTCTTCTCAGCCAGCACGACATTGCCTTAAACCAGGCTCTGCTCGAAGATCCCTTACACGAAGAATTGCGAGACAAGCTGGCCCTCTATCCCCAGGTGCAGGAAAAAGTGCTCCAACGATCATCTGTCTTGCAGGTATAAGTTAAGTATTGGTCTCAGGGTTTGGTGGAATTTAATGAGTTAGATATGCATAAGCAATCTAAATATTGCAGTGAGTACATGTTGGAAAGGCAGAGCTTCTACATCTTATTGAAATAGAACTTTTTTTTCCAGAAGCTGTATTTCCATTAAAGGTACAGGAGTCCTGTCCTTTCTGGCTGTTCCACAGCTTGTTATGAATGGAGTTTGGCAAAAGGCACAAAAGTAAGACTATCAGTCACATGTCACAAGTCTGATAGGCAATGGGGACAGTCAAGAAAAAGATGAAACACACTGCATCCTTGCCATAGTTTTGTAGCACTAGTTGACCGATTATTACATAATTGTTGCTGGTGTGCTTCTGTAAGTCTATGCTATGGAAACTTATACAGTGTTTTTTGTAGGTTTCCATTCTTCAGTCTACAAATGATTCTTCAAGAAAGATTTGTGTTGCAAACACCCACCTCTACTGGCACCCAAAAGGTAATCCTATAGCCATGACTTGTGAACAATCTTAAAAGTTGTTTTTGAATGTGTTTTTCTGAGGGAGGAAAAGAAAGTCTACAGCCTACAGTGTTTTTGTATGTGAGGCAAAAAAGACTTTTAATACTGCATTTGTTTTAAATACCTGTTAAGCTAAATCCAGTTTAGTCCTGTACAGAGTATTGAAATAAGTGGGACATACATTAGTAATAACTATACCATCTACTGTAAAAATGTATTTAGTTCATTGAAGCAATACATGGTTATTTTGGAATATCCCCATCTGCTGAATGATAAATAAAATTAATCACTTTTTTTATTTGTGTCCTGCATTTGGATATGGTCAGGAAAGAACTCCTAGGATCGACACAGGGATGTAAAATGTCTTAAACTGATTTTTTATTCTTTCCCTCTCTAAAAATAACTGGCCATGATTTCTAAAAACAGGTCCATATTTTCTTCTATTTTTAGGTGGAAACATTCGTCTAATCCAAGCTGCAATAGCATTGTCCCATATCAGGCATGTAATAAATGATATGTATCCTGCTATACCTCTCATATTTTGTGGAGATTTTAATAGCACACCATCAACTGGAACATACAGTTTTGTCAATAATGGCAGTATTGCTGAAGATCATGAAGACTGGGCCTCAGATGGAGAAGAGCACCACTGCACAATGTCGTTAACCCATCCATTCAGACTTAAAAGTGCTTGTGGAGAACCTGCCTACACTAATTATGTTGGAGGTTTCCATGGATGTTTGGACTACATTTTCATTGATGCAAATGCTTTGGAGGTTGAACAAGTAATTCCACTGCCAAGTCATGAAGAAGTAACCACTCATCAGGCCTTACCAAGTGTTTCACACCCCTCAGATCATATAGCACTAATATGTGACTTAAAATGGAAATAATTTTTTTAAAAAACTTGACATCTTTCTCTGAAGCAAAGAATTTGAGCTACTGTTGGAGAAATCCACTTGATCACTCATTTTAATAGTAAACATGTTTCCATGCCTATTAATAACATGCCAAATTTTCAGTTCTTTGTAACTGGCCATAATTTGCATAACCAGAATGCTTTTATGGCCATTGCTCTGTTTTTTAATTAAGGAAAGGAGTCAATGTTTAGTGCTCTTTTAAAGTTGAATTGTCCTATATTACCCTATCAGGTGCTTTTAAAATGGTGGATGAAAGTATTTTGTTTAAACCAAATTTATATAAAAATTGGAACAACTGGAAGTTTTTTGGTAAATGACATACTCTGTCAGTCTGTTACTATTGCCTTCTGAGAAGAAGGTATTCCTTGACAAGCTGCCAAAATCATGTAAAACATGTGTTCTCCCTATTAAAAAAAAATATGTATTTAGCATTCATTTGAAATCATTCCAAAAATGATTTGGCACAATTACCTGTTCTCAGGTGTTCTATAAGGGAAAAACTTGTCCATGTAAACCATAATTGTGCTTAAATAAAAAAATACAGTATGTTTAACCAATCCAACCTGCTTTTTTCTAAGTTACTGTAAACTGATTATTAAAATACTAGTGTATGCCTCATTTGCTCTCAATATATTGCAACTGATTTATTTTTCTAGTTTTTGATTGGTATTGTCCAATACAGTTGTGTTCTTGATGTTTGTGTTGAGCTGTTGGGACCCACCACTAGCACTTCCTAAAGAAACCCTGGAAAAACCATTGCTTCAGAATGGATTGTGCTCGTATGCAGGCGGTGTTGTATTCTACCTATTATTTTTTTTAGGGCAACTCAGTATTGGCTATAAAGTAGTATAGGATAGATATGATCCATATCCCTGTAGTGTGCTGTTAAAAATTGCTTGTTCTGATGCTGTTCTACTTTTATTATTTTATTTATTTATTACATTTCTATACTGCACATAGCCAATGCTCTCTGGTCAGTTCACAACAGGATATAAAAATAATAAAATTCCGTACATGAAACAGCATTTAAACATTTTAAAATTAAATAAAATAGCATTAATATACATTAAATAAAATGAAAAAGACCCAGCCAAGAAGAAAGGAAAAAAATGAGAAATTAGGGCCAGGAATGTGTCCTGGAAAAAAATGGTTAAAAGTCAGCAAAACGAATTGTAGACTAGGTAAGAGGAGATTAGAGAACGAAGTTTTTAATAAGGCATGAGCAAGCTTGAAAGCTCAACAACTGGGGCTTCACAAGTGGGAGACCTGCTTACAAATCAAGAACCTTGTTAACAGACATGGATTCCCACATGTTCATGCCTTGCCATTCCAACAAACAGGGAAATATGCAGATCTGTTGCTTTGTACAACTGTACAGATGGCCTATCTAGAATTTCTGCTCAGTGTATAGAGAAGAGAAGATGGACAGGGCAAACAGGTACAATTTTGTTACGCACCTCTATAATTTCCAAAGAAAGGTCTGAAAATAATGTATGGTATGAATGTTTATATAATGACAAAAACCATGATATTCTCAGAAACGAAAGGAAGCTACTTAAAACAATTGGAATACTAGCTCAGTAACTAATAGGATTTTACGTATTTACGTAGGCTTATTATTTGTATAGCATAGTGCAAACAAGTGAGAATCTTTGATATGAAGGCTCAGTTGGTACGCAGACATCCTCCTTTACAGCTTCAATACTTATCTGCTGCTTTACTTACTATGCTAAATACTGATACTAAAACCGTTTTTGTGGTCTGGGTGTATCTTACTAGACTTATAATGTCTTGCTGATCTTTCTGACATCTCTTCCCTCTTCGAATGCATATGATGTCTTAAGCATATTAGTTCTTAAGAGGACCTTCTTGTGATCCCTTATAGAGCATCTGAGGAATCACAGATAAATGCAGAAAACCATTCTGAAGTCATGGGAGTTGGGGTTAGAGATCTAGCCCCAGATCTTTCTCTTTTGCCAGCTAGCTGTCCAAGGTTGGAAATGAGGAGAAAAGGTATTCAGTGGGAGGAGGGGGACCAGAGCTGACAGGATGCAAGTGATCCTGAGTTTCTCACAGCCTATCTCCCTCCCAATCTTAGGGACCTTTTTGATGGGCAAATCTACAGGCTAGGAGAGGTGAAGACAAAGATTGCCTCAGCTGCTGCTTTTGTCCTGCAGTAGTTAGTCAGATGCTTCCAAGCTCAGGGGTTGCTGATCACAGAGAAAACAATTGTGGTGTGGGAGTCAGTGCTGGAATGGGACTTGGGAGATCCAGGTTCTACTTTTCATGTCATGAAACTCACTGGGTAACTTTGGGCCATTGACTGACTCACCCTAACCTACCTCACAGTTCAATGTGGGGATAAGATGGAGAGGAGGAGGATTATGTAAGCTACCTTGGATTCCTTGCAGGGAAAAGGGTGATAGATCAATGTACATATTGACAGGATGGTTCTACTTACGATGCACTCCCCATCTGTCCTTCACTGTATTATTCACATTTCTAATCTGTATTCATGCTAAGCCCTTCTCCATGATCTGTGTACTTTCTATTACTCTGCAATGGGCCCTCCCGCTCTGTACATGAGGCTGCTTGCTTCAAAAGCATCTCTGATGGGTGTCCTTTGTTTTGTGTCATCATCTAAGGCTTTCCCCATTTTCCTCACTACAGATTGCCAAATTCTAACTCCTCCAGGTCCCGTCTCCTGTTGATTGTAAGCTCTTTGAGGCATATTATTATATTCTTTGTGTCTGTGGTACTTAGCATACCATTGTTAATAGTATTAATAAAAGTGCCAGCAAACTACTCTGATGTTTTAGTTAGTTGATTGCTAAATCAAGCATCAGGCTTCTGTACAAATTGACTTGTTCACTTGCTTTGGAAAGGAAGCAGCTGTGGGCATTATATACCTTCAGTTTAGTAAAGTTTTGATGAAGTGCCCTATTATGTAGATACACAGTTGGCTACACAGTAAGATTCAAAATGTACATATCAATGGGACCTTCTCAAATTGGAGCAAGACCCACAGGCCCCAGTTCTGGGACCAGTGCTCTTCAACGTTGTTAATGACTTGGATGAGGAGGTGCAGGGAATGCTCATCAAAAGTGATCTTGACAGGTTGAAACAGTGGGCTGAAAGCAACAGAATTACATTTAATAGGAACCAAATGTACAGTTACAAGACATTTGGCTGAACTATACTACAAGTAAGTCTTTTGTAATTGTAGATCACAAAGTGAGTATGAGTCAACAACGTGGTGTGGCTGCTAAAACAGCAAATGCTATTCTGGCCCTCATTAATAGAAGTATAGCTTCTAAATTACATGAGGTACTGGTTCCCCTCAATTCAATACTAGTTAGGCCCCATTTTGAGTACTGTGTCCAGTTCTGGGCACCACAGTTTAAGAAAGATGCAGACAAACTGGGAGAGGTTCAGAGAAGGGCAACAAAGGTAATAAAAAGACTGAAAATCTTTATGAGGAGATTGAAGGAACTGGGTATGTTTAGCATGGAAGGGAAATATGATAGCACTTTTCAAATGCTTGAAAGGCTGTCACACAGAGGAGGGCCAGGATCTAAATAGTGCCAGAGCACAGAACACAGAATAATAGACTCAAGTTACAGGAAGCCAGATCCCAGTTGGACATCAGGAAAAACTTCCTGTTAGATCAGTATGGCAATGGAATGAATTACCTAGAGGGGTCACGGGCTCTCCTACATCGGAGGCATTCAAGAAACAGTTGGAAAGCCATTTGTCAGGTACACTTTAATTACTTTGAACAGGGGTTGGGCTCATAGGCTTTCCAACTCTACTATTCTAGGATTTTAATTAGTAATTGAACAGTCCACAAATTCTACAAGGATTTATTACAAAAATAAAGTAAAAGTAATCAATACAATGCAATTCTAATGACGCATTTTCTTAATTGCCCCATCAACTGACAGCCCAATTTGAATGTGTGCCAACCACCCAAGGAGAAAAAAAATGGTTGTGTATAATGGAAAGAATCATTCTGATATTATGGAAAAGTATTATGATTAACATGTAAGGGGGACTAACACCGGGCTTTTAACTCAGGAGCATGGAAATAAATCTAAGCTCTGAACTTCTGAATATTTCCCAATAGGTAATGTTTCTTCTCAGCACTGTTTATGTGCAACATTTTAACACATAATCTCTTTTATACTGAATCTGCATCATAGAGGTTTCTTTTCAATATTTTTTTCTGGTGCCCCATATATGACTATTTCGAAGACAAGGACACTACCCAACAGTTCCATAACATATCCTAAAAGTCACCTTTGTTCTATTCTAACATGTGTCTTCTAAAATACACACCAAATAATTCTTCTGTTTAAAACAGAATTCCTGACTACTTTGGGTTAGGTCCAGAGAAACACAAGAACTTACAAAACAGGGCTTTCCTGAATCTTCCTACATCTTTCCCTATCAGGCCAGGCCAGGCCAGGCCAGGCCTCCTCCAAAGCTAAAAATAATTGGACAAGACATATGGAGTTGCAGCAGATCAGGAAGTGCTTTTCTGCTAATGCAATACTTTTTAATGCAAGGCTCTCTTTGCTTGCAGGTAAGAACTATTCCATGTCATTACAACTTGCACTTTACATGCATCTTAATACAACATTGCCCTTAGTACAATGATGCTGTTGATCAGAGACTGTACTTAGACCTTACTCTGAGTTGCTGCTAAGTCTTAATACATTTCATTTGCAAGGGAGGCATAGAGATGCAACCACTTTACAGATTGCCTTTCTTAAAGAAAAGCAGCAAGGCAATGTTTTTTTGCAAGCAACAAGTCATCTGTTTTTATCATGTATTGCTTGGATATCCATTGATTAAATGGTATGGCTGTATTACTTATGCAGAGTTTACAAGACTATGCTAAACTTTGCATTGATTTCTCCCATGAATACAAGCACGAACCTTTAAGCTAATGTAGGATCATACACCTGGAGCCTAGAAAGCATTTAAAATCCTTTGATTCTATAAGCCACATCAGATAGGATATGTATTGAGAAAATTCCTTAAGTGGATCTCTCCAATGGAGCATTTCATTTATAATGCACTAGTTCTAAAGGTGACTGTGAGATCACTGAGATTAAAGGAAAAAGAAAATTCAGGGTTTAGAAAGCTACCTGAATAGAGATCCTGGCTTTTCAGTTTTAAGCAGCTATTCAATTGGGTCACATCAAACACTAGGTACATGCAAAGGAAACACTGGAAAATATTAAGCAAACACATGTGTTCCCTTCTAATTAAGAATGAAGCAAACACTATTGGGCAGTTTGTACTTTATTACAATTTTAAACTGTTAGTACTCTCATATCTGGACATCTTAAAAGGATTTAGATTTACAGCTTCAAAACACTTTTACAGGATTTTAGTCTTGATGATTAAACCAGTTACACTGTACACAAGTTTAACTGCCCATCTTAATTTTTTGCCAAATTGAAAACAATTCAAAGGCTATTCAGACTTCTTTTGTGTTCAAGGTACAGAAAAACTCCGTTTATTGAAAAAGAATAATCCATCACACATTCATGTTATCAGTTCCACAAACTCAAGATTCAAGGAGCATACACAAAGCTATACATCTGTAT